TCAAAATAAGTCTTATATAAGCAAAATAAGTTAAAAATTAAACTTTTTTGTTTTTTTTGACCACACACTCCACCACCCACTGAAAATGTTCCCGCCAGTTGAGAAACACTGCCTTAGTAATCGTCATTTCGAATTTAAAATAACCTTTTTGCTTCTTTGTTTTATTACTGAGCTACAATAAAAGCCAATTATGATATAGTTAAATACTGTAATGACTTAAAATGTAAATAGAGTCACTTAACAGATGCACAAGACATATATGAGCAAATCAAAGTAAGCTTGACTATTCAATTCAGCACAGGACTTGTATAATAAATGGGATTGTTTATGTTTTCCTGTAATACGTTCAATATTAAATGTTTAAAATGATACTGCATTAGTCAAAATTATTTAGAGCAACGTTTTCTAGCTATTTTTAAATAGTAATAAATAAATTAGAAAACTACCCATGGCAAAATTAATAAATACGGTTTAGTACAGGACTCGAAATCACCCTTTTTACTTGGTAGCACCGGTGCTCCCAACTTAAAAATGAATGCGCATTACTGCAAATCGTATATTAAGGGATTTATTGTATTTGAAAACAACATCGATCAGGACTAACAAAAACCAGAAACAACTATCTAACTAATTCTGTAATGACTTGATATTTGCGTAATAAATAAAATATTAATGATGATAATGACGATGACAATAACACTAACAGTGAGTTACAATTCTCATTATCATGATGGACACTAGTGGGCGGGGCTTTTGCTCTGATGACACGTACAAAGGGGGAATGTCAATCAAAGTGTTTGACTGTCTGAATTAAAAAAAAAAAAAACACAATTAATGAATTTTTACTACTAGAAGCTGCTTATATTCACACACACAGTGTTTAAACTCCTTATAAAATTGATTTTTTGCATAATAGGCTCATTTTAAACACTCCCATATCCCCCCAATGCCCCAAAACTGACATGTTTCCACAGTCAATGTCCTCGGTTGACCTGCAGCACAATGAAGTGTGACGGAGGTGGGATTGTTACAGACGAGCAGCGGCGCATCCTTGATGAACTCTTACAAAGGTTCAGTGGCATTCTGGCCGCCTCCAAATGAATGTGAAAAGAAGGGTAAGTAATTTCCTGCTCTGTTACGGCTTACAATGACCAGTCACTAAGTCTCAAACTTTCAGGATAATCGGGAATTCCTCTCATTGCTTGAAGGATCAACACTTCCGGTGTAAGTCTAGAGAAACATCTGACCGAGTGCTGACTGTGAACAAAGACAGAGCAGTGTTTTCATGTCATTCTGCTCGGATAAAGAGCTGACGTAAAGTGCATGTAAAACGGAGAGCAGCTGTGAAGATGGAAGTGCAACACTTTTGATGCCAGGTCAAGATGAGCATGAGATGTGTGGTGAAATAGACAACTCTTTTACAAGCAGTTGAACATGCGGTCAAAGACGAATAAAAGGTTCTCACGCATCAACACAACCGGCTAAAGAAACTTATAAAGCTTTATGACCTCTTGACTAAATAGTGAGTACATATCATTTTGGGTGAACTAGCCCTTTAGGTAAGTTGTTTATATCACTATAGTTGTTGTATTATCATAAAATTACCACAACAGGTTATTTGAACTGATGAACTGATCAAATAAACACTTTAGTATGGGTACTAAAGTAGTAGTAGTCTATGGGTACTACAGTAAACTGTGGTGCATTTTAGTAGGGTGACTAAATAGTGAGTACACTTACAGTTTTGGGTGAACTGTCCCTTTAAGTATGTTATTTATATTGTTATAGTTGTTTTATTACCACAAAAGATTAATTTAATTAATTATTGATTTTTACAACCCAAGCTCATTCTGGAAACGCAGCCCTGCGGATGTTTCTGGAGACCGCGATTTACGTGGCTGGAGGTACGTATGGCCGTGTTTTGTTTTTTTTATCGAGCGAACGTTGCGGGGCGGTGTGACGCCGCTCCACTCCTCCTCTTCGCGCTCGCCAACTCACCTCCGTGTGGAGGGCTTTCCCGCCTCAACCAGTTTGTCCGCTTAGCTCGGCAGAGCGGAGGCCCGAAGGAGGAGCCGGCAACGGCGACGACCGGGATCGAGTCCGGGGAAGAGCGGTTCCAGAAATCAGGTAAGATGAAAAACAGAATCCAAAAAAATAAAAGCGAACGAGTTTGTGACGGGGCGAGATCCGAAAACGCGGTGAAAATCAGACGAGGGCTTTTGCTTTTTTTTCTGGACGGCTTTTGCAAATCGTCGCTTGGGTTTAGGGAAGGAGGAGGAGGAGGAAGGCGGCTAGGTTGGCCGGTCATTCAGTCGTTCAGCCAGTCAGTCGGACGGACGGCCGCTCTACAGCGGCCTCCGGCAGCTTTTCATGAGAGAACAGCGCAGACGCGAACGGCGCACGCTCCTGAGAGGCGTCCGAGATGCGAAAGAGCGCACAGCAGCCTCTCGCCGATTCGCGAAAACAAAAACTGCTCGATTACGTACCTCCCGGGACGTATTTCGCAGCCTCCAGAAAAGTCCGCGGGGCTACGTTTCCACAATGAGCCCGGGTTAGATTTTTACTACAGTAAACTGTGGTGATTTTAGTATTTAGGGTGACTAAATAATGACTACATTTTTGGGTGAATCTCCTTTGTTTATATCGCTATAGTTTAATAGAATAATGCAACTAAATAAAACTTTAGTATTGGTTACATTCATAGTGAGTCAATTTTCATTTTTGGGTTAACTATCCCTTTAAGTAAGTAAATAAGTTTATATCACGCTAGTTGTTATTATCACAAAAGTTTAACTGTAAACAGTAAATACAGTGTAATACAGTAAACTGTGGTGCATTTTAGTTTGGGTGACTAAATAGTGAGTCAAGTTTTGGGTGAATTAACTGTTTAAGTAAGTAAGTTGCTTACATATGGTTGTTGTATTACCACAAAATTACTTCAACAGATTAATTAAACAACTGACCTTGCGAATTAATTCAATAAACACTTTAGTATTGTTTTTTTTTCTACAGTAAACTGTGGTGCATTTTAGTGGTGTGTCTAAATAGAGTACATTTTTATTATCCATAAAGTTGTGTAAAACTTATTGTATAAAGTAATTTGTTTATATCTATTTGCTGTATTACCACAGCAGATTTTGTCAAGTTCTTTACTATGTGGTTCAAAACATAATATATATATATATATATATATATATAAACCTTAAAAAACACTTTAGTTTAGATTTTTATTGCAGTAAAGTGTGGTACAGTTTAGTATTTACTATAATGAATATTATTATTTACATTATTTGTATTTTGTACAAGAGACCAAATACTCCTGAAGACATAAAAGACACCCTGCTAAACTGATGTGTATTCTACTGTGGTTTTTGTATCAGCAAACTGATTGCATTAAGCAATTTGTTTATATCACTATATTTGTTGCATTACCAAAGTAGAAGTACTTTACTACATAGTTCAAAAACATTACAGTGGCTATTTACCATAATAATTGTTACATTATTAGTATTTTTAAATGACTTCCAAGATGACTTCATAAAATAAACTTAGCCTATTAAATTGACTTTGCTCAGATTCCTGTATCAGCAAACAGACATTTTCAGTAAAGTGTGGTGCATTTTAGTTTTCTAGTATAATTTATGGACATATTGTATTCAGTAATTTGTTTATATCGCTATATTTGTTGTATTACCAAAGCAGAAGTACTTTACTGCATGGTTCGAAATAGTTGTCTATATAACAATTATTACATTATTAGTAGTTTTTTACTTGAGGAACTTCCTAGATGACTTCAAAAACAAACCTTTACCTTTTAAAATCGATGATGAACTGTAATAAACACTTTAGTGTTGGTTTTCAAAAACATTATAGCAGCTATTTACTATAATATTAATGACATTATTAGTATTTTTTACATGAGGGATTCAAAGATGACTTCATAAAACAAACTTACCCTTTTAAATTGATGTGTAGTAACTATAATGAACTGATAAACTGTAATAAACACTTTAATATTTGTTTTTATTACAGTACATTTTAGTTATCAAGTATATTGCATTAAATAATTAGCTTATATCACTATATTTGTTGTATTACCAAAGCAGAAATACTTTACTGCATGGTTCGATATAGTAGTCTATTTAACAATTACAACATTATTAGTAGTTTTTTAGTTGAGGAACTTCCTAGATGACTTCAAAAACAAACTTTTACCCTTTAAAATCAATAATGAACTGTAATAAACACTTTAGAGTTGGTTCTTACTACAGTAAAGTGTGGTAAATTTTATTTATCTAGCATATTGCATTAAGCAATTTGTTTATATCACTATATTTGTTGTACTACCAAAGAAGTACTTTACTGCATGGTTCAAAAACATTACAGTAGCTATTTCCTACAATATTAAACACATTTTTAGTATTTTTACATGAGGGATTCAAAGATGACTTCATAAAAAAACTTACCCTTTTAAATTGATGTGCAGTATCTATAATAAACTGATAAACTGTAATAAACACTTTAATATTGTTTTTACTACACTACATTTTAGTTATCAAGTATATTGCTTTAAATAATTAGCTTATATCACCATATTATTGTATTACTAAAGCAGAAATACTTTACTGCATGGTTCAAAACATTACAGTAGCTATTTACTATAATATCAATCACATTATTAGCAGTTTTTTACATGAGGGATTCAAAGATGACTTCATAAAACAAACTTACCCTTTTAAATTGATGTGCAGTAACTATAATGAACTGATAAACTGTAATAAACACTTTAATATTGGTTTTTATTACAGTAGATTTTAGTTATCAAGTATATTGCATTAAATAATTAGCTTATATTACCATATTATTGTATTACCAAAGAAGAAGTACTTTACTACATGGTTCAAAACATTACAGTAGCTATTTACTATAATATTAATCACATTATTAGTAGTTTTTTCTACATAAAGGGCTTCCGACATGACTTCATAAAACAAACTTACCCTTTTAAATCGATGTGTATTCTGCTGTGGTTTCTGTATCTGTGTGTTTTGCTCCTGTTTTGTGGAGGATAAATAGGTTGATGACTGATCTGGAGAGACTTATGACTGACGGATGAGGAGCTCGACATCGCCAGGGTAAGAAAAGTTATAAACAAACTCCCAGACACGCAGAATGACAGCCTCCACAGTCCTGACATCGTTATTCCCGAGCTCGTGACGAGTCTGACGCGATTAGCACGGTCTTTATTATGACTGAGTGAGTTTTTTTATGATTGAGTGAGTGAGTTTTGCGGTGAAACGATCCTCTCTGCTCTCTACACACACTCACATCAATGAAAGAGACGCGTGGAGAACTTTCAGCCAATCAGAGCGCGCCCTGTGCCGTCTACAGAAGACAGCCAATCAGAGCTCAGATCGGAGCGGTGCGTGAGGAGCGTGGCGCATAGATAAACATTAGAAACCAAACATCTTAAGATGATGGAGAGCTTCTCGTTTTCTTGTGGCATTTTAACGGAGAGATAGTACAGCAGCGGGGATTAACTATGTATAATCGTTGCATATTTCAAGAAGATAACGATTTTAAAAGACTTTTATCTCTCTTTGACAATTGGGAGAGTTTTATTACAACAAAATTGCAGCAGAAAACGCTTGTGTGCATGGTTTAGCTATGCATATTGTGTTAACCTATATTAAAACTCAACCTTGAGATGACATTGAGTAATATTGTAAGTATGAACCACTTTGTTTGCATGTTTAGCTTGAACCAATAATAAAAAGCGTTGTTTAGCTATTTAAGAAAGTCAATTTTTTTTTATGTATTTCTTATTTAATAAATACAAATAATGTATTAGATATGATATATATGACAGATCGTGCATGTTAGGAATATATAGCTAAGGAGAAAATTAAGGGAGCACTTTAAAATTCTCAGTGTTTTTAAGGAAAATGTTAGTATTTATTTTATTCTATATTTCTTATAATTTAATCAACTTTGCGAATAAAAATAGTAAATGGTTATTAGTATTAATAAAGAAAGGCTGGCAGCACGGTGGCGCAGTGGCATTTGGCATTTCTGTGTGGAGTTTGCATGTTCTCTCCGGGTGCTCTGGTTTCCCCTACAGTCCAAACACATGTGCTATAGGGGAATTGGGTAGGCTAAATTGTCCAGAGTGTATGTGTGTGAATGAGTGTGTATGGATGTTTCCCAGTGGTGGGATGCAGCCGGAAGGGCATCTGCTGCATGCAACATGTGCTGGATAGGTTGGCGGTTCATTCCGCTGTGGTGACCACTGGTTAATAAATGGACTAATCCGAAAATAAAATGAATGAATGAATAAAGAAAGGCTCTAAATGATAACATATTAGTAAATTGTGACATTAGTTTACAAAATCCAACAGAAATGGTTATTCAAATGCAAACCTAATATTGCCTTGTGCACAAACAAGCAAATAAATAAACAAATAAAATCAGATAAGTTCAATATTAGGTGGAATAACCCTGATTTCACAATCATTCATTTCCCTTCAGCTTAGTTCCATTATTTATCAGAGGTCGCCACAGCGGAATGAACCACCAACTATTCCAGCATATATTTTACACAGCGGATGCCCTTCCAGCTGCAACCCAGTACTGGGAAATACCCATACACTTGCATTAAAAAACACACTCATACAATACGGCCAATTTAGTTAATAAGTTCCCCTATAGTGCATGTGTTGGGACTTTGGGGGAAACCAGAGCACCCGAAGGGAACCCAATCGAACGCAAAGAGAACATGCAAACTCCACAGAGAAACACCAACTGGCCAAGCCGGGACTCGAACCAGCGACCTTCTTGCTGTGAGGCCACAGTGCTAACCACTGAGCCACCGTGCCGCCCTGATTTCACCATCATAACAAATGAAAACATTTAAAATCTGACCAAATGTCCTTTTCTGGGAGCAAACATGCTCTAAATGACAACATTTTTATTTGAAAATTGCATGAAATGTTATTAAGTCTCACAATAAAATAGACACGTTACTCAAACCCATAAATAATCTTCTTTTTTTCTTTTTAATAAAAGTTTTTTGGGCAGTAAACATTTTAAATAATTCAGTTTAAAAAGTTAACAACAACGAGTAGCCTTCACAAACAAGTAAGCTTGAACATCCAATTACAGTTTAACAAACTATTATTTTCCATGTCCACATTAAAAGATCAGAATATCAGTTAATTGTTAAACAGAGCAGAATGATTTAAAGTCAGTCAGTCTATTTAAATACCCTAGCATTAAACAAATCTACCACTAATACTCACTGAAGTTGTGTGTTGTCGTTTTCCCTCCAAAATGATGTCACTTTCTGAGTATGATGTCATTGGGGCCTTTATTTTTTAAAGGTATATTACAAGCAATTAACAGGAAAGTGCAAAGTTTGACACACAAGTTGTATATTTTCATTTACTTTTAGAAGAGAATGCACTTAGAAAACAGCACGTAGAAAACGATAACATTCAAAGTGGGAGATCATTTTAAATGCTAATCTGATATTCATTGATTTATAACGTCAAAAGCAGAGGAAGCACAGCAATTTTTCCTTCAAAATGATGTCACTTTCTGTGTATGATGTCATTGGGGCCTTTATTATTTAATGTTATATTACAAGTAAATAACAGGAAAGTCCCAAACAGGAGTTGATATTCATTTCATCTTTAGAAGAGCACGCATGCAAAAAAAAACAACACACAGAAAATGATAACGCTCTTATTGTGAGATCGTTTTAAATGCTAACCAGATTTCCATCTCTAAACATCATTGACTTGTTATGTCAAAGGCAGATAAAGCACAGTGATTTTCCCTCCAAAATGATGTCACTTTCTGAGCATGATGTCATTGAGGCCTTTATTATTCCATGGTGTATTATAATCAACTTACAGGAAAGTGAAAAGCTCGAAATCAGTTGTGATGTTTTCCTCTTTCTCTCCATTGTCTTTTCTTAAAGTTTTTTGTCTTGTTTCTTGTCCAAATATCTAAAAATTCCTAAATCAAGAAGCATTTTCTAGACAACCCAAAATTATTGTCCTCATTTCAGAGTCAAAATTAAGTGAGTTTTTCCTTAAAATAAACAAACTAGTCTTCTAGTGGGGCAATTAAAATAAGCTTTTGTCAAAGCGAAGACAAGACCATTTTAGCCTATTGACAGATTATTTAGCTTGTTTTAAGGTAGAAAAAAACTGAAAACAAGACAATAATCGTTTTGCTTGTCTAGAAAATGCTTTCTGATTATTGAATCTTTAGATATTTGGACTAGAAACAAGACAAAAACTCTCTTATTACATTGTAGAAGAGTATGCATAGAAAACAGCATGTAGAAAATTGATAACATTCATACCGAGAGATGATTTTTAACGCTTATCTCTAAACATCATTGATTTGTCAAGTCAAATGCAGATGATGTGTACTGTATATTCCCAGGCCGCTCACAAAAACAAACGCAGCCTCCATTTCTGCAGTGAGGACGTCCAGATGTCTGAAGGTTAGTGTTGGGTGTCCAGTAATGAACTTCTCTTCACACAGGGGTGTAAATGTAGACTAACACCACACTAGAAGATTGAGGATGATAGCGGTGACCCCAATCAGGCAGAAAACTCTCTCTGCGGGCTCTTTTCTGTCTGTTTCTGACACCGGAGCTTCCTTAAGCACAGGAGCTGCTGGAGTATCCACATCTCTGGGCTGATGCTGTCAGAGACCACATACAAGTGAGGGATAATTATTAGCCACCCTGTAATTTTTGCCCCTAATTTTTAATTAAAGCAACAAAGATTTTTTCCAACATATTTTAAATATAATAGTGTTAATAACTCATCTCTAATAACTGATTTATTTTATCTTTGTCACGATGACAGTAAATAATATTTTACAAGATACTCTTCAAGATGCCAGTATTCATCTTAAAGTGACATTTAAAGGCTTAACTAGGGTAATTAGGGTAAAGTTAGGGCAGGGGCGGACTGGCCATCTGGCAATTCTGGCAAAAGGGCTGGACCAATTTTTAAATGTGGGCCGGTCAGTTTTTTATTATTATTTTTTTATATGTTTTTACATGCAGGCAGCTTTTATTTTATGCTAGATGTGATAATATGATGATAATAATATTAATATTTATTATTGTTATAATAATAATAAATGTTAAGCATTAGGCCCAACCAGCGACGGCCACCTGGTTTCAAGATGGGCCGACCCAATCCGAGGTTACCCGGACGTAATCAAACTCTGGCAAGAATGTCATACTATTTCACCATCTGTACACCAAAATATAAAGTGAATGCGCGTGTCCATGGGTGGGGCTGTGTCGGTGTGGTAATGTGGGCTGGTATGGCTACAGTGACAGGGCTGAATTTTTGTCCCAGTCCGCCCCTGAGTTAGGGTAATTAGGCAAGTCATTGTATAACAGTGGTTTATTCTGTAGACCATCCAAAACAAATATTGCTTAAGGGGGCTAATAATATTGACCTTAAAGTGTTTTTTTATTTTTATTTTTTATTAAGAACTGCTTTTATTCTAGCCAAAATAAACCAAATAAGACTTTCTCCAGAAGAAATAATATTTGAGGAAATACTGTGAAAAATTCCTGAATCTGTTCAACAACATTTGGGAAATACTTCAAAGAAAAGCACAGGAGGGTGAATAATTTGTCTTTAACTGTATTAATAATATTACTATATTACTAATACTTAAAAAAAATAAACATTAGTAACAGTATTTAACTAATGCATGCCAAATACCTAGGTATAGTGCAAGAATTGTGTGTTTAGTTCATAAAAAAGAACAGTATTTGCGGAAGGGGTGCTAATGGGCCGAATGTTCACTAGATGGCAGTAACTATCAAAGCAAATGTTTCACCAAAGAAAACAGAACTGCAGATAGATAGATAGATAGATAGATAGATAGATAGATAGATAGATAGATAGATAGATAGATAGATAGATAGATAGATAGATAGATAGATAGATAGATAGATAGATAGATAGATAGATAGATAGATAGATAGATAGATAGATAGATAGATAGATAGATAGATAGATAGATAGATAGATAGATAGATAGATAGACAGACAGATAAACAGATAGAAAGATAGATGATAGTTAGATAGATAGATAGATAGATAGATAGATAGATAGATAGATAGATAGATAGATAGATAGATAGATAGATAGATAGATAGATAGATAGATAGATAGATAGATAGATAGATAGATAGATAGATAGATAGATAGAAAGATAGATGATAGTTAGATAGATAGATAGATAGATAGATAGATAGATAGATAGAT